TTGTTCTATAGGCAATCGAAGACATTTGTCTTACGGAAGTTTAGCCAAAACTCCCATTTGCATTGTCAAGGGAAAAAACCAACCAGTTAACAGGCGCAATGTCTTCAATACCTACCCTCACTGGACTTTACTTGGCAGGTGGATCCAGCGACTAGAGCACTGTAACCATATTAATAGATCCCACCGAGGGCAGCTGATTTGCATAAGACTTCGAGAGAACAAAATCACTAACATGGCAATTACCGCACAGTAGGATAACATAGCTACTAGGTAGTTACTGGACCTTGAAGATTGCTGTTTAGTAGGAATGCGCAACATATGCAACGGACGCATAGTATTCAAATACGTTGCTGAGGGTTGGCTAGCATTCCTTTTTTGGACGTAGTCACCAAGGCGCCGGCCCCAAAACAACTTGAAACAAAAATATACCAAAAACTTGGCTCAAAGGGTAGGTTGACTTCCTGAACAGGAATATCACATAGTTTGCTTCCCGCGAAAACTCCAGGTGTGTGCGCTACAGAGCTTTCGCCAGAAATTGTAGAGTCGGCGATTATGACCCGTGGGCCAGGCATCTAGGCATGCCTTACTTGGACGCGGTATTCGTGCGAAGAGGGTGAAATTACCCTAGGACTCGGGAATCCGGCCCAATTTCAATTCAAATCTAATTTGAATTTCCAACAGAGATGGACTTTAGAGGATCGGTAGTGCAATAAATGCATTCAACTCAGGAATTGAAACGAAATAAGTTGGTGAGAGGATTTGATATGAATCTGGTGATACTACAACAACCGCGTGCTAAGCAGTGAATAGTAGAGCAAAACTGGAGTTGCGCAAAAAGTTGTCCGAGTTTTTGGGTCGGAAAGTGCAAAGTGAGAGTTTCTGCTTCCTTAAACAAGCTCCCCGACTTTATGGCAGAAGTCTTATAAGCGACACTCTGCAGGGGAATGCTTGATATTTGCTGCATAAATAATTTCATTGTGATTCCTACAGTTAATGCCTTTTGTTGAATAAAGCAGTGTATGAAGGCAAATAGCTCAATATTTCTAAAATGAACATTTCAGCAAAACCTTCAAAATGAGTAGCATACCAGAATAGGGCTTTTCGCAGTGGCAGCTTGTCAAGTCGTAGTTTGGAGTGCCATGACCGTTGCACTGAATGGCATCACAATCGACTCCAGTCCATCCTTCTGAGCACTGAACACACCTGAATTTATGAGTTAGAGGGATAGTTCACCCAGCTGAACACTTAATAGTACATGCAGTATTATTGCACGTATTGCTTGCGCGCTAAGAAACCTACGGTTGCTCAAAGAACTGGTTTTTGTCGTTCGCTGCAGAGGTACCTGGAAAATATTCTACTCCACCGCGACTCTTGTGGAAATCAGAATCATCGCAAGGGAGATGAGGACTTATGTCTAGGGTTTAAGGGAAGGATCTGACGTGGATGAACCGGTAACTGAAGTAGGGTAACTTTGTTTGTTCATCCCTACCTTGCACAAGATATGGGGAGACGGGCTTTAGGATCACGTGGCATCGCGCGCGGCAAACTGCAAATACCGTATGCTTGCGGTAATCTACCAACGTCACTAATTGAATTAGGTAGTTATCACAAGAATGCTGAGTTGTGGGCAAAAGTCGTGCCCCAGGCGGGAGTCGAACCCGCACCTCACGCTTTCCGGGCGAGTGCGCTATCCGTTACGCCACCAGGGGCCGCTTTTACCCTCTCAGCTTAACGGCTTTTATGCCGTAGCCTATCAGCACTCACACGTTTAACTTGGTGAGCCGGTCAGCCGTAATCGATGGGATATCGGCATGAAACCGCGAGGCCGAAGGCTTTAGATTCGAATGTTATCACAAGAATGCTGAGTTGTGGGCAAAAGTCGTGCCCCAGGCGGGTTCGACTCCCGCCTGGGGCACGACTTTTGCCCACAACTCAGCATTCTTGTGATAACATTCGGAACGCGTACTGCGGCGTTAAACAGCAGTTATCATAACAAAACAGTAGGTAGTATTTCCTTCAGTTCTCAGTTATGCCATTTACCCCAGTGAGACCTTGAATGTCGTGACCGTTGAATTTCGTCCCATTTCTCTTACCAAGAAATCTCGTAGAAATTATATAATACAGAAACTTGCACGGATTCAGCTCACTATTCAATTAAGGTCAATACCGGTAACCTTTTAATAGATGTAAGTCTTCCTGGGCAGCCCACTACTACGGAACATACCATTGTCGTATGGTTCACGTACGGAAAATGCCCTACTGAGAAGATTTTCAATAGAGCATTCCTCCAAATCATTTGGCTGTATCACTGTCAGTGACACAGCCAAATGCCACTGTGCCAATGATAAAGCCGTCGCGAGCGCGCGGTATTTGAATCATGCATGTGTTCGCGCGCGACATCGCGTGGGCCTGCCGTCACACACCCTTTCACCCCTTCCCCACCCATCTCCATAATTGGTGCCGCAGTAAAGCTCTTATTTCTGATAGTCAGTCGTCGCGTTTGCCTAACCCCTCCACTCGAATTGTTGAGAAAATTTAGAAAACAGTGCGCATGTTGTGGAAGAGATGGTGCCTGAGCAGGGAAATTCGGGGGGGGAGGTCAGAAATGCTATCAGGGTATCCTAACGCTGGTGACACTAGATCTGAAACTCACGATCCATTGGCTTCTCTCTCGAATCCGTCACAGTTCATCCGTCGATGACAGGAGGCACCGGTCCAGCCGTCTCTGCAGAAGCACTGGTCGTTTTCGAGGTTCGCCGTTCAGACATGGTTTATGTCGTTTCAAGTACTGCCACCGTGAAGACGATTAACGTTAGATGGCATAAGGCTAGAAATCGTAGCATCTGCAAGATGTGGTCAGAATAACGTTCAGATAGCAGACAAGGCCATTCCGGGTCCTCTGGTCAACACCATTTTAGCTCAAAGGAAGCATGACAATCTTCAGAGAGAATCTATCCGCTTAATTGAGGCCACAACAGAAAGACTGAAACGATATATAATCTGGAAAGATAACATCTCTAATTATCTATCTACTTTTGAAGCCTGTCATACTTCTTCATAATTTTCTGGAATAGTAGTGTCAACCGATCAAATGGAATTGTGACCAGTGGGAGTCCTTGCAAATGAGAGGACTTTGATTGGTGGAAACGTCGCTCTGGCTACGCTCCTATCCACACCCCCTCATACGCCCTGTCGTTTGTAGTGATAAAGGGTGAACGTACACAGAGTAGCAGGAGCATAGAAGATACACAAAAGTCCAAGAGATTAAAATAGAAATAAGGACGAAATTCATTCCACAGCACTGAGGCGGAGTACTGTGACAAACACTCAAAAGCATACTGTACATACTTCTCCGTGGATTCTACTCCTTGCCATGTGGAAGATGAGTTAGTATATGGCTGCTGTAACGTACCACTTCCTCTGTTCGAAATGCACGAAAAGTGTAGCTAGCGTAATAGGGAACGCAACTGCACGGAAAGCGGAAGATGCGGGTTTGAATTTCGACCATCGTCCGCTTTTGCCCACAACTCAGCACTCTTGTGATAACTTTCGTCGAGCACTGCGGCGTTAACCAGCAGTTATCTAACAATAACAGCTTTAAAACTAAAGTGTAGTACCTTTCGAGTCTGCGGCCGCGGTGCCGAGCTGCCAGCCACACGCTTACCATAGCCAAATGCGCTGCTTGTCTGGGCCCTCCCACTTTTGGTTATTCTCTACAGCCGAGTACTGGTTACGCTCCGGAAACTTGAAACTTGACACCGCGACAAAGGCTGCTTATGGAGGGTTGCGCTGGCGGATGGGGACGACTCTCACCCTCTCCAGCCCCATCCTCTTTCGAGCGGAGAAAGTGGAAAGCTATTGCAGCTGCGCACCCATTCACCTCGCACATGGTAAGGACCGTTCTCGGAACTGAGGGTGCTATTTGTCTTCAGTATTTTGGGACTGAGGCGGAGGTGGTGTAGTGAGAAGGTGGCGCGCTTACCACTCGCGCGGCGCCGGGTTCAAATCCGGGTCGACTCCCGCCCAGGCCAACCAAGCCTTCTACCCTCCGGGACGGTACGGTGAATTGGTACCAGATTCGTCTGGGAGGATAAAACACTGACTTGTACATCGGCTGGCCACCGCAAGTCATTGTATAGGCCACATCGCATTCAATAAGCCACTACGATTCTGAATGGAAGTAGAATGCGTGCCGCATCCCACAAAGGGATTGATCAACGGCGAAGACTTATAGGTGTATCCTCAGTATTTTTGGGACTGTCCATGATATTCCATGTTCCATTTCATAATTGAAGGCTTTGGTATCCCCGAAACTGCACCAACATTGGTAAGAAAATGTACGTAAATTTTTTGCGTTTCGAGTGCTGTATTTGGAAACATTCGTTTTTACACCGT